AATTCATTCCTAATTTTTAATTACAGATACGGAGAGGATAGATAACTTTTTTATATTTTGTCTGCATTCCTTCTAATGTATATCATTCTCTCTCAGCTTCTCTTACTATTTAGTATCAATAACCATAGTTGGGAACTTTCCGCTATCTTATGTGGAAAGTGGCCCTTAACAACTTCGAAGCTGCGGCTTAATCAGACCATCAGTGGAAAAAATCGTTGGATCGTCGGGGAGAAATTAAAAACACTCATGCATAGATAATACCCAAGTCGTGCGGTGAGGAGTTTACCTAGCTGCGAGGAGCCCAAGTCGATAAGCCACTCGCGCGAGGGAAAATGTTGTTAGGAGGATGAAAAAACGCCGGAATAAAGCTGGTAGCTCTGGCCATATTTACGTAAGCTTAAATCGCACCATGTGTCCATGTGTAAGCGAGTGTGTGTTAGTGTGTGCGAGGAGCTGGGGTCCGCCATGTGTTGCAAATTTCTGCAGCTTCTTGCTGTGCGCGCTCTGTTCCCTGCTCTCGAATAAACTAGGCGGCCACAGTGCGTATGAGTTATGCAGATAACGCTCAGCGCAGCTCGAAAGCGACAGCGGCTGGCTGGGCGACCGCAGAAAGTGTTTTACTCAAAGGCATCGTAACTCTTTGCGGTGCCTCCTTCATTCCCTCTTTCTCCACTTTCTCCGGAAAAGCTTCTAGCTGTACAGTGGGAAAATATCATCAAGAGATGGAAATCACTTCCCCTTAAATAAAATATCGGAATTCCCTTTATAAAAAACATTTAAATGGTCTTATAAAATTTATTTAAGCTAGATAGCTTATAGAAATAAAGGAAATTCGTATGTAACCTTAAATTGAAACTATAGTTTTAGTTTGATAGATATTGGCCCCACTCCTTTGAATGGAATTATATTGCTTCTTACACTGCCAGTTTCATACACATTTCTCTCTGTACCCCGTTTCACTCACTTTTCCGGCAACTTCAATTTCTGTATCTCAGAAACGTGCTGAATTATTGGCAACTTGGGTAGTGAGCAACGAAAAAGAAAGGGACAAAGTCGTGCATTCTGCTTTGACTTGACAAAAGTTTCCCGCTCCGTTTTTTTCAGCTAGATCATATTTTTTATCTGTGCTGCGCGCGTAGCTGCTCAAATTTAAATTAAAACTTCGGTACTTTTGCATTTTATCCTTGACTTTATGACTTTGGGTTAACATGGCAATGGAGTGATGCCGCTGCTCAGCTTGGCATTTGGCTCATTTCCCAAGGAAAAAAGGGCGGCGGGATGCGTGTGAAACTTTGTGTCGACATTTTGCGGTTGTAAAGCGTCAAACGCTTAAAACTTAAATAGTTTCTCCTCCTCTTGTTGCTTCGTTATTTTTTATCATTTTATTTTGAATGGAAACGTTTTTGCCTTTATCGCTCAAGTTTGAGAGCTTTGGTTTTGCATTAAAAAAGTTTGACTACGATTTTTCAACCTTCCCCCAAAATCCCCATAAATACTCTCAGCGTTTCGCTTAATTTTATTAAAATTTTGCATATTTCTGTAATTTTTTTTTGCGACAGCCACAGATATTTTTTATGAGGGCAGTACGGCATTTTTGAGTGTTTCCTTATCGTGGTGCTAAAATGCGAAGTGCTTATTTGAATATTTTATAAATTTTTCATTCGCGCCTTATTTCGCAAAATATTTTCGCACACATTCTTTGGACAACTTTGACATTGAAGCGTGCGCATGTGTGTGTATGGGCATGTTTCGATGTTTGCGTGTGTGTGTGGGTGTACTTTCTCCGCTCAGTGATGTGTGTGTGTGTGTGGCTATATGCTAAATGTCTGAAACACGTCTGTCTGGTTGCTAAAGGCCAGCACACATTATGCTCCGGTCCTGGCTCCTGCACTTGCCCCAGGACCCTCTTCTCCAAAACCCTCCCCCTCTCCATTTTCCCCTCGGCCGCAGAGTAAATTTGCATACACACCAACGCACAAGACGGGCGTGTGTGGTTTGGCATTCATTTTCAGTTGAAATTTATGCAATGGCTTAAATAAGCGCAAAAATGCCATTTTACCCACAGCAAGTGACAAAATGTATGTTTCGCCGGGCATAAAAAATAATAATTATGCAATGAACATAATACATTTTCGAGAATACATTCTTCGAAGTGAAATGCAGAAAGCCGGAAGGCAGCCACAGTAAAAAATATTTTAATCAAGATTTAATATATGTTCAGATATGTTTCATGTGTTAATATAAAGTCATTTCTGTATAATTGTTTAATGTTTAATATTTATACTCTGGTTTCCCAAGTGGTTATTCACTAGCCATCTTATGAGATTCTAGTACTAATTTAATATTCCATTTAGGCCTTATTTTTGCTTGTGCAGTAAAATGTACGGAGAACTATTTTGATTTTTTTTATTGCATTGTAAATAGAGTAGCAGGTGCTTGAGTATTTTTGGGCAAAGTGAAACTTTATGCAATTGGTAAAATGTTTTCAACAGCATTTGCATTTCCCTGTGGCCTTTGGGCCACTCTAGACATCGGACATTGGGCAGTGGGTATTTACACATTTGTCATGAGCATGAGCACTTCTCAACCGGAGACCACCGACCGCATTTAGTTTCGTTGTTGATTAAGTGTCAGAGTGCAAGTTGCGGCCGGGAAAACTTTGTCTTTGGTCTTGGCCAGGCTAGAGCCATGCGTTCTTAATAAAAACAAGATGTTTGGTTTTATCTGGCACCTTCCTGAAGCATCGTTCCCCTGCCAGTTGCGCCCACAACTCCGCAGAGTTGAAGACAAACATGTTCGGGGCCAACGTGTCGTATACTTGATTTTATATGCAAAGTACTTGCAGCGTTTTATGTGAGATTCAATTTCCCACACCGCTTCAATGCTTTGCCCTGCTGCTTATGCAAAATCAATAAAAAGCATGCGGAAAATGGGAGAAAAGCAGAGTGCAGGGAAAATATTTACGCATGTCAAAGGGTTTATAACACCTAACCGGTGTGTCTGTCCCCCGGCAAAATCGAATCCAACTGAAGACAAAGTGAGAGCGGTACAAAGATGTGATGTGATGCGATGTGATGGCTCAATTTCGAGAGAAAGAGTTTGGGGGCCATCAGAAATCAATTTCCTGTGGCGCCAAAAGGGAAAGCGTAAAACTTTTCCCAAAAAGTTAAAGCCAAGATAAAGGAAAGGAAAGTTCTCCCTTCGCTGGCAACTTTTACCTGTCGCTTTCGCAATAAAAACATTGCCAGCTGCTGCCACAATCAGTCAAACAATCAATAGTTTGATTAGGTTTCTCTGCCACATGTTGACTTTAAGCGAAAAATTAGCCGTAAGCCCCCGTTTCCCCGCCCACAGTCCACCGTCACCGAAAAACTTTTGCGCCACCCCTGCCACAACAAATAAACAGCAACAAAAAATAAACGAAAAAAAAGGAAACTTTGAACTGTTGCCGGTTATCTGTGTGTATGGGGCATAGAAAACTTTTAGATACAAAGAAACAAAAAATAAATATATTTAGAGATAGAAGGGGCATACATATGCTTACTGCCCGTGGCACTCGAGTTGACATTTATACGAGCCGTGCAACAAGAAAAACAACTCAAAGTCAAAATGGCCAAAATATGCACATAAATTTCATTTTCAAAATAAGAACAACAAGTCGTAGGAGAAGCTGGAACTGAAAATGAAAATGGAACCGGAAAAGTTGCAAATGTGCAGAGATAAGCGCATGCTGCAAAACAACATCAACTGGCATACTGAGATGTAATGAAATTAAACAAATTGCCGGGGCTTTAGCCTGGCTACCTGCCTTTTGAATCATTGTCAGCGAGTGGCAAACTTTTTTCCACCTCGTCCCCTGACAAATCCCACGACATACAAATGAGTTGTCTTGCTGGTTGGGGGAGGAAAAAAGGGGGGAAAAGTACGGAAAATACAGAAAATAGGGAAAATAAGGAAGCGGCTGCTGCTGCTGCTGTTTCTGTTGCTGCTGCACAGCAAACGACAATTCATGTAAATTGCTTAATTTATTAGACTTTTTCAGGGAAAAGCAGAGGTTCGTCCTTACCACCACTGCCACTCCCACTCCCCTCGGAAAAGCTTCCTGACTTTGACAGCGTCGCGACTTTGGCTTAAGTATTAGCAATTGTTGTTGCTGCCGGCTTTTCTATTTGCGCTCTGCTACAATTTCCTGACTGCCTTTTGTCTCGATGGAAAAAAGTTTCACAGCAGCAGCCCTGTTTTTTCTTCTCATTTTCCTCTTGGTTCAGTACGGTTCGGTTTGGTTCGGCTTGGTGTTTTCTGTGTTCTGCGAATTTGTTATCTTAATTCATGTCATTTAAAACAGCGAAAGAAACGCAGAAAAGTCTGCCACCATTTGTTTCTAAATAAAACTCAAGGCAATTGAATTCATGGCGTTCAGGTGAAGGGGGAGGGCATGGCAAACTTTTGTGTAATACGCGGACAGATTAAAAGTTTTTTTCCAAAACCCCCCAACCCTCCCTTCCTAGAAAATATTACGTATACGCCGCCTGTGTCGAGCTCTCGACTCACGTTACGCATACGCCTCGTTGGCTGGCGCGGAAAACGCGGAGCAGCGTGGATTCGAGCCGTGTCAGCTTAATGGCAGCATTCATACAAATCACAGTAGCCCGCCCGCCGCTTCCGGGCTGCCATTGCACTTTTCAGTGTGCTGCCTTCTTGTTTTCCATGTTCCTAGTTTTTTTCGCCCAGCTTTTCGGGGGCTGCAGCATGAATTTATACGTCAGAAATTCAAGAAAATGCACAGGAAAAGAGGCGGAAAACAGCGCGCCAGCATAAAGTGCAAGAAAAGCGCGCCGCACTCACGAACCCTTGGAAGCATGGAAACACATGGCATTACTACAACAACAACCTACAAAAAACTAGGTTACAAGTTGCAACGTGAAACTTTGACGTGTTGTTTGAATATTTTTAAAGTAGCAGAGGTCCCCTTTAAATTTTATAGTGAAGTGAAAACATACCCAGTTGTGCAGAAAATACTGGTTGACTGTTAAGTGAGGAAAATTCCAAAGGCTGCGTTTATGTATCGTAAGTTTGGAGCTCGTGGATCACTCGCTTTTTCACAAATACGCGACGTCACTCGGTTGTCTTTCGTCACTTTTGCCGGCTTGGCCAGAACTGCTTCGCTTTGTTAACTATTTTCAACTGGCAAACGATTTCTTGGCCCCCGACTTTGCTGGGATTTTCCGCAATTCGCCGCAGCAGCTTCGTGGGAAAAATCCGAAGTGTTCGTCTCAAGAGAGATGTCGGGGATTTTTCCCGACTTTCTCTTCGCTGGTATAACAGTTTTTCCTGCTCCAGTTTTTCGTCCTGGCGTCTGTGTGTGAAATTGTGTCATTAGGTGCATTTGTTTTCGTTCTCCTGACCACCCAGCACCACCCCCTCTCAGCCTTAAACCACTCCCTCAACCCCTAAACCCTTAACATCCTTCTGTTGTTGCTGTTTATTTGCTTCATCTTCATGCCGTGTCACTTTTCGAGTGCGAGTGTGTGTCAACCTGGCGCCGCTCATCTAACTAAATGCCAACAATTATGTTTTGGAGTCTCATTAGTTGCAACTTAAAGTGTTCTAATGTGTTGCCGTGTGTGAAGAACGATGCCGTTAATGATGTAAGCGGCAGCTGTGAGCTGGATACTGAAAGCTGGATACTGAATGCTGGAAAGCAGAAAGCTGAAAACCGAGCGCCGAGAGCCAACAGATGCCAGCGGAATCGAGTCAAGAGGGCTCTATATGCCCCCACATATATATATATATATATTTTGGGGTCGAGTTCGTGCCACGCGGCGTTTTGTTAATTGGTTTTACCTGACCACACTGCGCAAACTAATTGATGTTATTAAAGTAATGAATTTATAGCCGGGAAATTAAGTTAATAATAAGATATCTGGATTTACTATGGTAAATTTCGTGATTTACTTTTATTTATCTATGTTCTCGATATGTTCTCTCAGTTATTTCACACAAATCAATTTTGGTTAAATTTTGAATTTTATCCTCTTTAGATAATTATCAATATATCGTTTTAATTACTGAACATTTGATATAAAATAATTAAGAGGCTTATTTTGTTTGAGTATTGAAATAAAAATTTTATATTTATATGTGTTGGAGTTTTCATGTAAAGACTTAAAGTTATTTGATTTAATATCAACTGCCAAGTAAGTAATTGGTTCACAAGAGTTGGAAATCACATTTACATTTGCATTTACATTTCACTTAGAGTTAAAGCCTTGTCTTTTTGGTTTGTGCAGCAAATCGAGTATGGAAATTTTTATATATTCTCCTGTGCCCGGTGGCCCAAAGGACCCGATGACAATGCCATGCCACTGAGTGAAAAACAAAGCGAGTGGCACAATATGGCACAACTAATCACGCTGACGTTGACAGAAAATGCACTAAACAAAGAGCCAAATAAACCGAACCCCACCGAACCACACCAAAAGCAAACGCCATGTGCCACCGGTGGGGGTCAGGCCATAAAAATCGCATGCGAGCGAGCGAGCGGACTGGTTTAATGAATGCCCGGATCCGGGGTTCGGGGGTCTATAGTCCGGTGTTCGGGGATCCGGGGTCTGGTCCAAGCAAAAACGGAACCAGCGCACACAGGTTACCAGGTTGGGTTCAGGTTGCTGTCGGAGCCAACTAATTTAAGCTGCGCCTTGTTATAATTACGCCGAGCAGCAACAAAGCTGTTGGAAAATGATGCGCACGTGACATCCGGCACGGTTTTTCCCCTGTCCGTCCGTCCGTAAGTCCACGCAAGTCAAAAGGCTGGGGGAGCAAAGCCGGAGAAGGCCACCGAGTTGCTGGAGCCGGAGCCGGAGCCGGGAAAATCAGCCATCAGCCAACAGTAAAAGCCACAGCGTCAAAAAAAAGTTAGTACGTTAAGTTATGCGAACATTGAGACTTAAAACTACCTAGTACTCTAGCATCTGCACATCAAAGATCTTCCAGACATAGTTCCAAACAAATTAGATCGCCCAACAAATAATTTATAAATTAATCATAAAAAAAAACTGTTTTGCATTTATATTTCCACTAATCGTTGTTAGTACTTTTATAGAAATGCAATTGACACAAATCACGAAAAGGAAGCCACTGTTTTAGATGCTGTTTCAATTATTAAAAACAGAATTTAACAGGCTGAACGATTTAGAATTAATTGGCAAAAGCAGAAAATATAATTAAACTCTGAACAGTAATTATTTTATTCTAGCTTAATTATGTTGAAAGCTTTAAATGGATTATTGTTGATAAGCTAAAAAAAAAATGGTTGAATTATTATTAGTCCATTAAAATGTATTTGCGTGAACATGATATATCCTTGAACCCCAAAAACACTGGATACAAAAACAAAGGCCAGGCCAACGAAGTCACACGCTCCGAAAGCAAACAGAGCAAAATGCAGTCTTTGCGGGTGTAAAATAACCAAGCCTCTGAACCTTTTCCCCTGCCAGCTTAGTTTTTAGAAAATTATGAGTGGGTGGCACCGGGGGTTCCTGCATTTTTTATACAATTTTCTGGGATTACTTGCACTCGTCGGCGCCAGCAGAATTAAAAAAAAATGAGAAAGGAAGCAAACTTCGGCGAGTCGGAGCTTATATACTCTTTCAATCATTACAAATATGAAGATCTGCATTTGGCTTTATAAACACGGCTAAATAATATAGAAGCTACTTCTTTTGGTTAAGATTTTCTAGTTCACACAGAAACAGCCAGACAGATAGACGTACATTTCTAGATCGGCTTAGATGGTAATGCTGATCAAGAATATATTTAGTCACCGTGGTTTGAGTTCTTTCCTTTACTGCGTTCCAAGCTCCTGACTGAAATTATTATACCCTCTGCAAGGGTATAAATAGGGAAAGGCGGCGGTGGGACTCAAGAAAATTAGTCGCGCTTTTCGCTCGCGTCGGAAAAGAATAAAAAGTGCAGCCAAGGAGCAAAGTGTAAATTTACTTCCGCTGCAAAATGTGGGCGTACTGCCTGTCCGCTGACAGCTGACTTTTGGGCGGTGGGTGGAGGGCAGTGGGCGTGGCCGGTAGGTGGACAGGGCAAAAAAAATGCAACTTTTTCTAATTAAGCGTACGTGCGACTGTCAACGGCTTCAGCTGCTGAGGCAGCGTGCTCTTTACTTGTATAACTTATTGTCGTTGACAATAGTTTTAATTGAAAAGCGCCGAGCTTCCCGTTCCGTACGTGTATGGGTTTGGGGAGAGCAGCGGGGGGATAGGGACGAAAACCCAACTCCTGAGCTCACCTCCGACAATTCAATCAACGCTACAAATGCTGACTCGTTTATTTTTCAAGACGCCCCACAGCAAGGCAGCAAAGATGGCACTAGGAAAAATGGCAGGTTGGGCAAAAATAGTGCTTAAGTTGCTTGGAAAATAATATTAAAGATTTAACAAAATCAAGAATCGGCATTTTATTTTGTAAGATTTGTCTCTCTAAATATCTGTAAAAAATATTTATCTTTATGTACACATACTAACTAATTAAATTCAATTATTTTAAAGTGTAATATCATAAATGTTTTACTCGAATTGATAACGACAATTGAGATCAAGACAGAAACTTTCGATAAACATTGAAAATAGAAACAAGCTTCGTTAAAATAATATTTCAAAAAGGATAACAGCTTTCTAAAAACATGCTTCATTTTTTGTATTTTTCTCTAAGTGAGTAGCTGTTGAGTGGGGACAGCTTAGCCGGCATTTGTCTTTGTAAGAGCTTCTAGCTCGGGGCCAAGAACGCTCGTCTTGGCCGCCACTTAGCTGCTGACCAACTGCAACTTCAGGCCAAGAGCTCGACTCTAATTGAAGTTCTCATTGATGCTGTTGTTCCGCCCGGAAGGGTGTGGGGTGTCTAATGGATGTTGGAAGGGTGGGGGAGGTGGCCTTTGGGTGGGGTTTTGGTGGGTGGCTGGCTGGCATAACTCAGCCGCATGCTAAATCAAGAAGCGTCTCGGCTCGGAATCCATTTCCCATAGTCATGCACTGGCAGCGAACATTTATCAAGATGACGGCACATGCACAGTTTACCTGTGCGCCATAAATAAGTAAGGCATCTCTCCTCGCCTCGTCCTGCTGATCCTTCGGGTGCGATGCAATCAGCGCCGGTATTTCCCCGCAGCCACGCTCCTTTTGCCAACCGACTAACGCCCAGTGTCTAAAGAAGGCGGCTGCAAGTTTCTTAATTTTCGTTTGCCGTGAATTTGCTCACACATTCGCCAAGTTTTGCGCCTACGCCGAGCTACTTTTTATCCTTCCCATTGGAAATACTATACACAGTTAAAAAAACTGTTTGTTAATCTATTCAAGCTTAAAGAAATGTTTTTAACGGAACAATATACTTTTATATCATTTTATTATCAGAGTACTTTACCATTTCAAATATCAACAAGCATTTCTATTTGTATTTTCGACAATCTCAATAAAAGTAAACATTTCTGTTACCCAAAGGTGTTTTATCTGTTAACATTTACGAGTATTTTCTAAAATACCCCCAGTTTTTTATTCAATTTTGCCAGTGCACTGCTGTGAATATTGTTGTGCAGCTCGGCGTAGCAGAAAATCGCTTAAGACGCTGCTGTGCGCAAAGTTTACCCCTTTCAGAGGGGGAGAACTCCACCCCGGATGAGCGTAACTCCCACCTGGGTAAGTTTTACAACTGCGACTGGCTCAGTCATCAGTTTTGAAGTTGAAGTTTTGCCTGGTTTGCATCTCGCTTTTCCGTATCTCTGGCTGCCTCTCCGTATCTTTTCCGGCTCAACTTCATCGACATCGTTTACTTTTCGATTCGTTTCGTTTTGCAATCTGTAATTACGAGGAGCAGCCGCTTTTGATGCTTTTTCGGTTTAACTTTCAACAGCTGCCAAGGAGTCTCTGCCTCCTCGTCCATATCCTGAAACCCCCAATCCACCGAATCTCCTTCCCTTTTCTCCTTTCACCACTTCAAATATAATCGACATTGTCGATTGGCGCTTGTGTTTTTGTGGTTTTTGCTCGGGAAAGTTTTCAGTTAGTTTTGTTTTGGCTGGCATTTCTAATGCCTTGGAAAGGAGTTTTTAGATTGCGGCGAAAGGATTGCATATTTTATGATGATGTGCCTCTGTTTGCC